ATTAACAGGCATCCACCACTTTGCCCATCTTATGGTACATGTGTTTGTGTGTATTGGGGGGTGTCTTAGATAGTCTCATGTAGCCCAGGTTGGCATCAAATTCATTATATAGCTGAGGCTGGTTTTGAACTTCTGATTCTCCTACCTTCACCTTCTAAGTGTTGGGATTATAGGTGTGCCTCACCATATTTAGCCTTCTCTCCTTTTTAAAATTGTTCTTCCAAAATAATCCAGTGTGGGGGCCCCCAGAGGCTCCCTATTAAGGCTTTACTCTGGGTCAGAGAACCTGAGCTTGCTTTACCCAGCAGGGCTGCATAAATGGATGACTTGGCCACAGGTGTGGTTACCAGGTGTTTTGAAGGGTCTACACTTGACTGTACGGCATGCTTTGATCTAGCAAGGGGAAGTCTTTTGCCTCGCCCCTTGGTGTTGTACAAAAAAGCCCTTTTGAGTAAACAACTGGGCAGCTGGGTATTGACCCAGGGCTCTCCCGAAGCTATCCTCTGTCTCTGTGTCTCCTATCTTTCTATCATTTCCTCATTCCCCTCCTCCCCCCAATAACTCTTCGACAGGTCAGAGCTGGACTCCAACAGAGTCCCACAATCCAGTGAGGTAGGGGATGCTATGAACCTTGAAAGAAGAAGCCAGCAGCTGGGCGTGGTGGCGCACGCCTTTAATCCCAGAACTCGGAAGGCAGAAGCAGGCAGATTTCTGAGTTTGAGGCCTGGTCTACAGAGTGAGTTCCAGGACAGCCAGGGTTAAACATAGAGAAACCCTGTCCTGAAGAAAAAAAAAAGGGGGGGGGGGGATGGAGCCAGCTAGTGTGTGTGAGACCATAGGTTCAATCCCTGGAATTTGGGGAGGGAGAAGGGGGCAGGAACGAGAAAAGATGGGCAAGAGAGGCAAGGTGACTTATCTTACAGCCTGTACTGTCACCTCGCATCTGTCTCTAACGGATGTCTCAGGCACCCATAAAGGGATTAGCCTGCCCAGCAGGGCTTGGGTGTTAGGTGGGGCAATCTTAGTTGACTTGGGCATGACCTCATCTAAAGCTCTCCGTCTGTGCTTCAGCCTGGGCTTTGCCCCGTGGTTTGCAGGGTGCAGAGAAGATTTCCTCCTACCAGTTTTGATTCCCATTGTCTCCTCCCACCCCTCACGTCTCCAAGAACCAACCCTCCAGACTTGGTGCTTGTGAGAGCTCTGCACGTTTCCTTGGCTGATTCCGACTTAAATGACTGTCTTATGGTGCTAGTCCTTCAAGTACTGGGATAGCAAACCGAAACCCAAGCGAGGAAGGAAGTGAAAGTGAATCTTTGTTGTCTTCACATGAGGCAGGGCGGAGTGCCAAAGGGAAGAAATGGTTTTATTTATTTTAAGGTGCTGGGGATAGAAACATCATGTTTTGCTCATGCTGAGGAAATGCTATCCCTACCAGGCTACAGTTCCTACCACAAAGTAATGTTCATGTTTTCCAAATTGGATGATAGCTCTCTCAAGATAGAGTATTTGCAAGGGGTAGTTCATGGTGTGGCCTCCCGTATTTCGGGAATGTGAGGCTGTTGCTTGGGTGTTTCAAGAAAGCAAGAGGGTTAGAGATGTGGCTCAGGGCTTTTCCCGCGAGCCAGGTCAGCACCTGTCCTCACCGCATCAACAGTCCAAAGCCTCGGTCCCCTGCGTGGTGAAGGTCTGAATCTGGTGGTCATTTCTGTGTGCCTGGTGTCTTTTCCTGTTGCTGTGATGAATAGCCTGGCTGAAGCAACTCCAGGCTTCTTTCCTTCCTTCTCTGAGGCTGCTGTATATATGCTGAGGGTGAGCTGGCCAACCAGCTTCTGCCTGATTGTCTACTTCCCATTTTGTGGCGGAGGGCTGTTACACACGCACGCATTGGCACACTGTGGGAATGTATGTGGAGGTCAGTACACGGCTTTCGGAAGTCTGTTCTCTCCTTCCACCGTGTGGGTCCCAGGGGTTGAGCTCAGGTGGCCAGGCTTACATGGCTAGTGCCTTTCTGCTTGTGGTGACCTCTGGAAAGTGTCTACACCTGTTGTATGGGGCAAGTATGCAGGTTTTGGCTTCTCAAAGCCCAGGGGGCTCTTCCCCCTCATCCCCTGGAACATCCTCTGAGCTGTGCCTCTCTTTACGGTTGGTCTAGGACCAGCTCCAGAAGTGGATCCGAGGCAATGTGAGCGCGTGTGCCAGCTCCGTCTTCATCTTTGACGAGATGGATAAGTTGCATCCCGGGATCATTGATGCAATCAAGCCCTTCCTAGACTACTATGAGCAGGTGGATGGGATTTCCTACCGCAAAGCCATCTTCATCTTCCTCAGGTCAGCCAAGGAGGCTTCTCAGGGACTACAGGTGCTAGCACGAGGTTCTCCTGGCCATCCAGGACAGAGCTGCCAGCTTGGCCAAGCCATGCCTCATGTGCCATTTTTACTTCCCAGTCAGTCTGCCATAGAAACTGGCTTGAGGATGAGCCAGTGATCCCTCAGTGAAGCACTTGGTGCTCCTGCCAGCCCGTGTTTAAAATCTAAACACAGCATTTACATTCCTTGCAGGCAGACATGCTTCTTTTTGTCCTTGTAGCATGTTGCAAACAGTCCTGGATTAAAGCTTTGGAGCACTAGCCTGGCAGTGGTGGTGGCACATGCCTTTAATCCCAGCACTCAGGAGACAGGCAGGTGGATCTCTGTTCAAGGCCAACCTGGTCTACAGATAGAGTTTCAGGGCAGCCAGGGCTACATAGAAAAATCCTGTCTCAAAAAACCAACAAGGCTTTGGAGCATTAGAAGTGGCACACACCCGGAAGCGGGGTGTCCTGTGATGCTGTGGAGACACCTACTCAGCATGCCCACGACCCCCGGGGTCAGTTCTAGCATTTGAAAAGGAACGAAGCCTTGGGTGAATGTATTTGGCAAAGAGATGGGGATAACTGAAGTGTTGCATCTCTGGCCAATGCAGTAATGCAGGTGGAGACCTGATCACCAAGACGACCCTGGACTTCTGGCGGGCAGGGAGGAAGAGGGAGGAGATCCAGCTGAAGGACCTGGAGCCGGTGCTGTCCGTGGGCGTCTTCAACAACAAACACAGTGAGTCCATGTGGAGCTGGGGCACCCGGTCCTGCCGGCATCGAGCTGCCGCTTCTCAGCGGTGCTTAGGAAGCCGGCGTCACTCCTGCTTGTGGCTTTGCTGCCCTAGGGAGTTTCCTCGGAGTGTTAGAGGGCGCCTGTCACTTGATGGTCTCTGGAAGGGTAAAGACGTGAAAGATGAACTGGGATCAGATCCGGTGTGGCCAGGTGGCAGTGACAGGACCCTCTGTCTTGTTCCGCAGGTGGTCTGTGGCACAGTGGGCTGATAGACAAAAACCTCATCGACTACTTTATCCCTTTCCTGCCCTTGGAGTACAGACACGTGAAGATGTGTGTGCGGGCAGAGATGCGGGCACGAGGGGCTGCCGTCGATGAAGACATCGTCACGAGGGTGGCGGATGAAATGACCTTTTTCCCCAAGGACGAGAAGATCTTCTCGGACAAGGGCTGCAAGACTGTGCAGTCACGGCTGGATTTCCATTGAGCTCTTCACCCCACGGGGTGGGAGGATTCAGGGGAGCCTCCCACCACCCCCACGGCCTTGCCTTGCCCAAGTACTTTGAAGACCCCCTTGGGGCTTTGCACATTTGCACCTGTGGACTCTGGGGATGCTGCCTGGCAGCAGCTGAATGTTTAGAACCCTTACACTGTTACTGTGAATCAAGTGCCTCAGAACATCTGAACACGGGAGGCCAATGGCAGCCATGCCTCAGAGGCCACTGATGGGCTACAGCACCCTGCTGCAGCCTTGGGGAAGCACCCGAGGCTTTTAGTCTTTCCCTGAGCTGGCACTGTCAGTCTAAAGCTGGTGCACTGACGCCTGTTCAGTCTGAGGGAGCATGTGGGCTTGACCTTGGCTGAACTGTCAGCCAGAGCAGTGAGGACTCCCTCTGAGGCCCGTCACACACTGCACACAGAGCCTTGGAGGCTGGACCTTAGCGGCTGCTCAGGTCCTGGCTGTGGACTGTGTCCCACTGTGTAGGGGCTGCAGCCTGCCTCGGACTTTGTCTCCTCAACTGTTAGATTCACCCCAGCCTCATCCCTGGTCACGTCAGAACGGGCTGTCAACGTTGGAGGACTTTGGGGTTGGCCTGTTACACTTGCTCTGAAGGTCAAGTCAGCCCTCCGGCACCAGTTACATGCATAGGAAGAGCAAGCTCTAAGCCAGACCCCTGGGCTGCTGACTGCATCTGAGGAGTGCACCTGCCACACACCAGAGATGCCTTTTTTTAAAAAAAAAACGTGTCTTTTATTTCTAAACCTTAGGTAATAAAGTATAAGATGCCATGTATTTTAAAACCTAGGAAGCACCCAGTGGTGGTGGTGGCGGCGGCGGCGGCGGCGGCGGCGGCGGCGGCGGCGCACGCCTTTAATCCAGCACTTGGGAGGCCAGGCAGACAAGACAGATCTCTGAGTTCAAGGCCAGCCTGGTCTACAAAGTGAGTTCCAGGACAGCCAGGGCTACAGAGAAATGCTGTTTCAAGAAACAACAAAAACCTAGGAAAGGACATAGAATAAGTATTCCTAGTCTTCTCAGGTTGTATTGTTGCTGGGTGTGGGGCACAATGTGCATGATCCTAGCAGGAAGATCAGGGTCCCTCTGCAGGTTGTGAGTTTGAGGCTAGCCTGAGCTACATGAAACTTAAAAGGGGAAAAAAAAAAGGTTTTATTGTCAATGTCTATGTGTAGCGAGTGGAACTATATGGGCACAGTTTTAGACCCCCGTCCTCAGTTTATGGTGGATCCTGGGTGTAATCTCAGGGTGATGCCTTGAGTGAGGTCCTGGGCCGGGCTGCTCTGACTGTAGGAAGTAAGCCTGCAATTCCGGCCTCAAAGTAAACCTCTCTATGCCATAGTTGCAAGGCAGCTGCAGACATGAGAACATTGGTGTATTTTTATGGAATGTGAAGAATGACTATTTTTATAACATGGAAATGCCTTCTAGAGAATCACATTTAGTCTTTTGAAAGTGCCAAGGTCAGCTGGGTGTGGTGGTGCCCACCTTCAGTCCCAGTACCTAGGAGGCCAGGCAGGACTGTCTCAACTCTGAGGCCAGCCTAGGCTACACAAGTGAATAGCAGGCCTGTGGTGTACACACGTGTAATCTCAGCACTTAGGAAGATGCGTTTGAAGTCAGCCGAGCTCCAGACAGAGACCCTGTCTCAAAGTAGAAAGCACACAGAAGCCTGCCAAGGTGAGGCTGAGTTTCATGCCATATTCTTGGGTTGGAGCCAAGTTACCATTTATAACCTGTTGGGTGCCTAATCAAGAAGAAACAAGCTTTTCTGTTTACAATGATGCAATGTGGACACGTGTTGGTCACCTTTGGACTGCTCTTACTGATCTGTAATTTAGAAAGGCCGGGCTGGCTGCCCCAGCCTCCCCGACCTGCCTGTAAGAAGGCATGAACGCAGACTAATAAAGCCAGTGTGGTGCACTGTGACAGGTCACTTTCACTAAGTTTTCCCTCATTGGTGTGGTAGCACAGAGCTCAGAATGAGGGCTCGAGCTGCCCGTGTATTCCTTACCTTTCCACACCTGGGTGCACGGGTTGGCCGAATCACACAATCAGTGTTTGCCCTTGGCTTTTCTGTGTGGTATGTTTGCACATGTGAGGGGTAGGCAATCACATGCACGCACGCACAGAGGCCAAAGTTGGGCACATTTCTCAGTTTTCTATCTTCCTGAGACAGGCTCTGGAGTTCAGAGGCAGAGGGCTGCCAGAGGTGGGCTTTTCTACCACATAACCTCCCCCTAATGGCGATCTATCCACCTGGCCATAGCGGTCTTCATCCTAGCTCGAGAGAGGAGACCCAGCTGCTGGCTGTTTTGGACCAGGACTGGTAAAGAACCTGATTCTAGTCTGTTCGTGGGCTAGATCTCAGCATAATTAAGCTGGCTTCTCAAGCAGCACTGATAATATGGCTCCATCACAGGACACAAGTCTAGAAAGGTAAGTCCTCTTCACTGTCACCCTGCTGCTCCCTTTCTTAGTTGTACATCTAGGAGCCCAACACAGCACCCACTCTGTCATATCTACAAAGACAGGACTTAGCAGAACAGGACTCTGCTCCTCAGTTAGGGCTCAGTGCTTGGGCTTAGGTGAGTGGTCAGACCTGACATGATCTTGGGGACTCGGGACCATCACTGGGAGCCCTGCACAGGCTGGTAGAGGCAGAGGGTGGTTCTGCCAGCCGCTGACCTAGTTTTTGACTTGTTGAACCTTTGGGCCCTTTTCTCCTTGCTAAGCCCAGCCCTGTGAGTGCCCTGAATGGCAGCCACACCTACAGGAGCCCTACCCATTGGCAGGCATTGTGTGTGCACAAGACAAGCCCATCTGGAGCTCTGCCTGCCCGACATCTGGAGTGGACCTGACAGTGCCACTAAACTTGTTCCCATACTACTGAGTCCAGGGAGAGCACACGGGTGCATTTGTGACAGTGTTCCAGTCTTATCCAACCACTGCATGGCCCCTGGCAGGGCTGGCTTCAGTCCCCTAGGGTCAGTCCCTTGTTCCCGAGATGTCATCCAGCCCGTGCTTGGGCTTCTGCAGTAGAAACCCTGGTGATGTCAGCCTGAGTTTCAAAAGACACACAAAGCCAACAGCTGAAAGGCTTCTCATATATTAAAAACCATTTAAAAGAAAGTTATCACATTTGCAGTAAAACTTACTTGTTCTGCCTCAAAACAGAAACACCTGAAATTAAAACATAATTTAAAAAAAAATCATGAGCCCAGGAAGGGGCAGGCTGGGGGGTTTCATCCCCTAGAGGCTCCAGGAAGCTTTGGGTCCATGTTGTGTCTGTGGTCCCTACAGCATGGCCACCTGCAGGCTCTGAGGAGCAGAAACAGTCCCGAAGGCAGTACCTGGTAACCTCGGCAGGAAGTGTCCTGAGCGGCCCGCCTCCCGGGAGAGGAGTGGCCTGACGGTCTGCCCCAGACTCAGTCATCCAGGTAGTAGTCCAGTTTGGTGAACACGGTCTTGCAGCCCTTGTCTGAGAAGACTCTCTCCTCGGGAAAGAACGTCATCTCTTCAGCCACCTTGCTCACAATGTCCTCATCTACTTCATAGCCACGGGACTGCATCTCAACTCGGATGCACATTTTCAGGTGTTTATACTCCAGGGGCAGGAAGGGGACAAAATAATCAATGAGGTTCCGGGCAATGAGGCTGCTGTGCCAGAAGCCACCTGGGAAAAAGACAAAGATGTGCCACTCACTCTTCATCTGTCCAAGGATAACTAAGTGTCCACTGGAGACCATCCCCAACACCACCCCGTCTTCCTTCATACAGCGAGAGAGAGACAGGAGCTGCCTTGTGATGCTGCTCTGACAGCAAGGGCAGGGTGACATAAAGGGACACCTTTGGGCTGGAGAGATGGCTCAGCAGTTAAAAAGGCTTGTTGCTCTTTGCAGAGGACCTGAGTTAGGTCCCGATAATCACAACCACATGTAACTCTGGGTCCAGTGGATGCAACACCCTCTCTGGACAACCGCATGCACATACACACATACACAAAAATGAAAACAAAAAAAGCTTGAAAAGGGACACTTTGGTGCTGTGGGCTTGGAAAGGCCTCTCCAGGGTACCTTGGAGGTGGGAGACAGCCTAGAGGGCCACACGCACCATACTGTGTGCCATGTGGGATCCAGGCAGGGTGGGCAGAAGCTGAGGGACAGGTTGGAAGAGGTGCAAAGAGAGAAGGGAGGGGCATCCCCAGAGACAGACTCCACCAGTCAGTCTCCACCTAGGAAACCACAGTCCGGAGAACCCACTGCTGCTGCCAGTGCTCAAACCTAGACTCCCCCGGGTGGTAATGTGCAGACAAGGCTGTGCAGCTCAAGGGTCTGACTCTGACAAGTGCTTCGCTGCAGAAGCCGAGCTCTGCATGGCTCAGCCTCCCAGTCCTGAGAACACTTGACTCAGCTCCTGCTGGATGCCCCAGGAGCTCCTGACATGTCTTCACGCCCTGCCTAACTCGTTCATCTTTGTGTTCTGGCTTCCCGTGCAAGCTGTACCGAGAGCCCAGTTCCCAATGGAGCCCTGCACTCTGACGGTCCTCAGTGAGGGCCTGTGGCCACAGCAAAGACCAAAACTATGAACAGCCACCAGTGTGACTGCTGTCTTGAAGACCTACTCTGTGCCAGGTGCACACGGAGCCCTGGGGATCGTGGCTGGGGGCATCTGGCCTGGCTGGGGAGGAAACCCCCGAGCACAGCCTGAATGACGAGGACCCAGCCACCTGACCCAGCAGGTGCTCAGCAGAACCAGTAGACGAGATGATGACATGGCCTTAAACACCAGCGGGGGCTGGGTCAGCTTAGTGGGAGGCACACAGCTGGCAGGTGTAAGGCCCTGGGCTTGCATCTCAACATGAAAGGAACAACACTCATATACTGCCACCTCAGATGTGTGTCCTGAGTCAAATGTCTCCTTCCTGCTCCTCCTCCTACCAGGATGACTCAAGCACATGTCTCCTCCTCCTCCTCAGACGCTCTCCACTGTCCACTCCAGCGCTCCTGTCAGCACACCGCCACCCAAGCCAGATGCCTTGCCTGTCTCTTCTCCATCTACAGCCCTGCAGGAGGTCTTCGCTACCTTCAGCACAGTGTGCTCATGTACTGCTGCCAATCAATCTGTACTTCCTGCTGTGTGTCGTCATCCTTTTTAGCATGAAGAGAGACTTTAACATTTAACCCCGTCTGTCTGTCCTCGGTAGTATCCCCTTGGCACAGGATAACACCACACTGTGTGGGTTCCCTCACTTCAGTAAAGATCTCTGGGTGAGTGTATTTCCAATGAGACCTATGGCCTTCTGTTTTGTCATCTCAACAACCGGAGACCAGTGAAGAGCTGGTGAGATGACCAGTGAGTCACCCTCATGGCTGGCTGCCTCCTGAGGTTCAAGGTCAAAGGTTGCAGGGCAGTGGCTGGAGGAGCAGCTGAGCTGAGAGTTAAGAGCGCTGAGCGCAGGATGGAGAGGTGCCACACAGGCTGTGTGGTGCTGCGCAGGCTCCTGCACTGAGCCTGGTGTCCTCTGTAACGACGGACAACAGGCGTCTGTTCTCTACAAGGGAGCAGGTCAAATGTCCGCATGTCCAGTAGAGTGGGAAGGCCCAGGCATGGCTGCAGAGCCCTAGGGCACTTGCCCAGTTATCAACCTCCCTGCAGTCACAAGTGGCCTTCTCCTGGTCCAACTACCTGCTTTTCCTCTACAAGGAGTGACCAGTGGTGCAGCCCAGCATCAGCGTTTATAAAACAGCTGTGGCTGGTTAGCAGATTTCACTCAGGGATTCGGCTGCGTCAGGGAAGCACCGAGACGGCATGAAGTGTGGCTCCTAGGCCGGGCAGAACCGACAGTGCAGGGCTAGAGGTCGGTTTCATGAGGGACGGCCATACTTACTGTTCTTGTTATTGAAGACCGACACGGCCAGGGCATGCTCCATGTCTCTGAGCTTGATGTCTTCCCTCTGCTTCCCACTCTTCCAGAAATCCAAAGCCACGTCTGTGATCCTCTCTGCCCCCGCATTGCTGCAGAAATAATTGCAGTGAGGAGGGGCTGCACTTCTCCCCAAAGCCCCCAGGTCCAGGAGCAAGGGTCTCCCGCCACGTCCCAGCCACAGCCTCACCTGAGGAAGATGAAGATGGCCTTCTGATAGGAGACCTCATCTACCACATCGTAATAGTCTAGGAAAGGCTTGATGGCATCGATGAGGCCCGCGTGCATCTTGTCCATCTCGTCAAAGATGAAGACGGACCGAGCACAGGCGCTCACGTTGCCTCGAATCCACATCTGTAATTGGTCCTGGAGACAAGAGGGCCCGATTCAGAGCTCTAGTGGGTGCAATGCTCTCAGCTTAGGTTTCTTTGTTTTGTACAGCTCTACCCAGAGCCTCACTAGGGCTAAGCAGCCCTCTACCGGAGCCACACCCAGGCCCTCAGGACAGTGTTACCGCTAAGGCCAATGGCTGCACTTCTGGAGCACCGGGCTCTGAGCATTACACACATACACCTTTCCCTCACAATCACTTCGTGTGTAAGAAGCATCACACCTATGCCAGGCCACAGGTGAGGACGCCAAGGGACAGAGCACTTCATCAGCTTGTCTAAGACAAGATAATTAAGCTGGGGCAAACCGGGAACTCAATTCAGCCAAAGCTCCAGGTTTGTGACACTGTGACCACACCGATGCTGTTGTCAGCCAGGCACCAGCTCTGTCCTCACATTGGCAATGTCACATATGTCCTGTGGATGACGATCTCTCTCGGTAAGAGACAGAAAGCTACTATCATTTCATCCCTTGCTCTGCAGTCCAGCCTGGAGAAGCACTGACTCCCAGGTGGGAAACGAGCACAGGGCTCCCTCAGGGAGTCTGAACTTGAGCACTCAGCATTCCAGGAGGGGAGGAGGCGGCTTTCGGAAATCCATCGCCTGGCCAGAAG